GGTTATATTGGGCTTTAAGGGATGTTAGTTGGGATTTAATGGATCGTATTGGGCTTTAACGGTTCTATTGGGTTTTAATGGATCGTATTGGTCTTGAATAAATCGTATTAGGCTTTGATAGACCGATTGGGAATTAATGGATCGTATTGGACTTTAATGGAACGATTGAGCTTTAATGGAACGTATCAGGCTTTAATGGACCATATTGGGCTTTAATGGACCCTATTTGGTTTTAATGGAACATATTGGGGCTTTAATGGAACGTATCGGGCTTTAATGGACCGTATTGTGCTTTATTGAATTGTATTGGGCTTTAATGGAACGTATCAGGCTTTGATGGACCGTATTAGGCTTTAATGGACCCAATTTGGCTTTAATGGAACATATTGGGGCTTTAATGGAACGTATCGGGCTTTAATGGACCGTATTGGGCCTTAATGGACCGTATTGGGCTTTAATAAACCGTATTTGACTTTAATGAATCGTATTGGGTTTTGATAGACTGATTGGACATTAATGGATCGTACTTGGCTTTAATGGATCGTATTGGGCTTTAACGGACCGTGTGTGCTTTAATGGACCGTATTGGGCCTTAGTGGATCGTATTGGGCTTTAATGGACTGTATTAGGCTTTCATGAACCGCAGTGGGTTTTGATAGACCGATTGGACATTAATGGATCGTACTTGGCTTTAATGGATCGTATTGGGCTTTAACGGACCGTATTTGCTTTAATGAAGCGTATTGGGCCTTAATGCATCGTATTGGGCTTTAATGGACCGTATTGAGATTTAATGAACCGTAGTGGATTTTGATAGACCGATTGGATATTAATGGATCGTACTTGGCTTTAATGAATCGTATTGGGCTCCGTATATGCTTTAATGGACCGTATTGGGCCTTAATGGATCGTATTGGGCTTTAATGGACCGTATTGGGCTTTAATGAACCGTAGTGGGTTTTGATAGACCGATTGGACATTAATGGATCGTATTGGGCTTTAATGGATCGTATTGGGCTTTAACGGACCGTATTTGCTTTAATGGACCGTATTGGGCCTTAATGGATCGTATTGGGCTTTAATGGACCGTATTGAGCTTTAATGAACCATAGTGGGTTTTGATAGACCGATTAGACATTAATGGACTGTATTAGGCTTTCATGAACCGTATTGGATTTTAATGAACCGTAGTGGGTTTTGATAGACCGACTGGATATTAATGGATCGTACTGGGCTTTAATGGATCGTATTGGGCTTTAACGGATCGTATTTGCTTTAATGGACTGTATTGGGCCTTAATGGACCGTATTGGGCTATAATGAACCATATTGAGCTTTAATGAATCGTATTGGGTTTTGATAGACTGTTTGGATATTAATGGATCATACTTAGTTTTAATGGATCGTATTGGGCTTTAACGGTTGTATTGGGCTTTAATGGAACGTATTGGGCTTTAATTGACCGTATTGGGCTTCAATCGAACGTATTGGACTTTAACGGTTCAATAATAACAATAATAATAATAATTTTAAAAATATATGGTCATTCATGAAATAATAATAAAAATAATAATTTTAGTGGTAATAATAATATAATTTTAAATTTCTTAATAATAATAATAATAATAATTTAAAAATAATAATAACAATAATAATATAATTTTAAATTTAAAATACCGGGCGGATTACCGGCGGTTTTTCCACCACAAAACGAAAATTTTCAAAAATGTAGGCGAAACCGGTTGATTTTTTTAAAAATTTGAAATATTTCTGGCGGAAATTTCCACCGGAAACAGGTTGAATTTTTAAAGTTTCTAGAATGCCGAGGATTTTAAAATAATTTAAAATTTTTAAGACATTTCCGGCGGACGGATCCGCCGGTAATCCGCCGGTAATCCGTTGGAAACCGTTTAATAAATAAAAACCCTACTCCCTCATTTCACAGTCTCCATCACACAAACACTGCTTTACCCTAACCTAAACTAGCGACTAGATCGACCGGCTGCCGTCTCCTTCTTCCGGCCGCCGCCTCTTCCCACCGGCCTCCTTCCGCCTCTTCCCGACCACCGGAAGTATAGATCTCTCTCTCTCTCTCTCTCTCTCTATATATATATATATATATATTTCTGTATGTATTTTCGTATATATATATATATATTTATTTATTTATTGCCGTTTATATATGTATGAATGTGTATATGTATGATGTATATATGT